TTCACTTCACTTCACTGCTCTGTGTGTGCACTTGGATGGGTTAAATGCAGAGCACAAATTCTGAGTATGGGACACCATACTTGGCCACACTTCACTTCACTTCACTTCACTTCACTGCTGTGTGTGTGCACTTGGATGGGTTAAATGCAGAGCACAAATTCTGAGTATGGGACACCATACTTGGCCACACTTCACTTCACTTCACTATCTTCACTTCACTTCACTGCTGTGTGTGTGCACTTGGATGGGTTAAATGCAGAGCAAATTCCGAGTATGGGACACCATACTTGGCCACACTTCACTTCACTTCACTATCTTCACTTCACTTCACTGCTGTGTGTGTGCACTTGGATGGGTTAAATGCAGAGCACAAATTCTGAGTATGGGACACCATACTTGGCCACACTTCAGTTCACTTCACTTCACTTATTAATATTATTTAAAAGTTTGGGGTCAATAAGGTGTTTAATGTGAAAAATGCATTAAAAAGTAATGTTGTAAAATATTATTAAAAATTAAAATCACTTTATTATTATTAATTTAACTATCATTGTTGAAAACAGTTGTGCTGCTTAATATTTTTGTGGAAACCATGACATATTTTATTTTTTATTTTTTTTTTCAGGATTCTTTATTGAGTAGAACATTCAAAAGAGCAGCATTTATTTGAATGATAGTGTATATTTATTTTTTTTCTGTTATTTTTTCCCCACCAAATGTGCCACTTGTTTAAAATTCCACCATTCCTATATCAGCCATATAGAAAATTTGGTAATGTATTTAAATCAGCACAATTTGTAATAACAATGTTTGGTTTAATACAGACAAACAAATGTGTAATTTTTGAAGATATAAATGTATTTATGTGAAGAGCAATTGAAGATATAGCAACAGCGCAACATCCATCTGGTAAAATTGACAGTTCTATCATTTGGCTCAAAACTCTCTTGCACTGCTCTGGGTGATCAGGCGTCCATCCCTTATTGTTCAGCCCTGTTTCAGATTTGTTAATTGATCACTTTTTTTTTTTTTTTTTTTTTTGAAGATATAAATGTATTTATGTGAAGAGCAATTGAAGATATAGCAACAGCGCAACATCCATCTGGTAAAATTGACAGTTCTATCATTTGGCTCAAAACTCTCTTGCACTGCTCTGGGTGATCAGGCGTCCATCCCTTATTGTTCAGCCCTGTTTCAGATTTGTTAATTAAACAATTTTTTTTTCTTCTTTGTAGTCTGTGCACATCATGACCCTGAGGAACTGGCGTGAGGTAAGGCATCATTTTATAGCACACCACAAATGTTATATCTGTGTCACAATAATGAATCTGATAGTAATGGGACTTCTGACGTCCTGCAGCGTGTGGACCATCTGTTGAAACAGGAGAAGTTCATGGAGGCTCTGTCTCTTGCCTGGTCCTTCCACGAGGGCACCGCCAAAGCTGTGCTAGGTCGGTCCTTCTGTTCACATCCACTCTAAAATCTACACTTCTGTTGAACCAAATGACTGTTACAGTACTTTCTCAATTTTTGTGAAAATGATTACAGCTTTCAGACCTCAAAGCTTTTAATTTGTAATTATGTAAGTTACAAATTATATAGTCTTTTATTTTCCAAGAACTTCAGAATTTTTGTACAAAAGTTAATCACACACAGAAAAAAAGGATTTAGAATACTGTTTGATAGAATTAAGATTCAAATGCTCTAATGATACCACAAAATGCAGGTAGTAATGTAGACCTAATGGGATGTGTTTATGTAACAGGTCTGTTTGCAGACCCTGCTAAGAGAAAAGGTGTGGTTGCAGACAAGGTAAGATTCTTGTTAATGCAGTGACACTGCTGTACATACATCTTTACTTCAATTTTTTTTGTTGGATCCAGTGTTACCAAACTTAGCTGAAAAAAAAAATGGAGCACCTTCGGGTTTACTTCATCTTATTAAGGGGTTCATCCTTCAACAGGATAATGGCCTAAAACATGCCTTCAGGATATGTCAGAGATGGTCTCGAAGAGTAGAATAGGATAGTAGCTTCAAATCATGAAATGGCCAGCACTGTCTCCAGAGTTAAACCTGGTTGAGCTGGTTTGAGGTTTAAATCCATTGATTAAAAATACTTGAGCTTTGTTCTTTAACTGAACTAAGGGTCTTATTGGAATCCCACTTCTTTATACTGTGAATTACTTTTTTTCTTATTGAGACAGTATTTGATTTTCCCGTATAACAGATTTCTAAATGAATTTATCTATCTGCAGCGCTGTAAATGAGCGTTATGATGGCTAAATTTACTTGTTGTTGTGCAAATAAACGACAAATTCTCTCTCTTCACAGATGGTGGAAATTTTGTTACAGTATGTGGATCGCTCTCTGAAAAAATGTCCAGAGCAAGGGAAAATCCAGGCGATGGAGCAACACTTCCAGGTAATGGGTCACCAATAGAATTCCTCTCAAATGGTGTTATCTTATCAATTTTCCATATTATTATTATTTAAAGATGTAGATATTTTTTAAGACAGAGCTGAAGAGTTTTTAGCATTATAGAGGCTTTTTCGAGAGGTGAGAGTGAGGAGAGCAGACTGAGAGAGCGATGCAGACAGTCTCCTTTATGTCAGTCTTTAGGCCCGCGGCATCCATTTTTAAACTGCATCTCATCATAAGGCGGAAACCACATACAATAATGGCCCACTAATGTCCTCTCTCCCCTGCCTCTGGGTCTCGCTCGCTCTCCGATTTCTTTTTGCCATTAAGAAGCACTCTGTCATCACAAAAATAAGGCACTCACCATGGCCAAATGGCAGATTTAGCTCTGTATATCTAGGGCAATGTGGAATGTTATGCTGCTCTAACTGCCTGTCTGTCAGACACACTTTCACAGTCAGTTTTACCACAAGAGAAATGTGCATATTTAATACTTCACCCATATTCGATGGACTGTGGTTCTATAATAATTAGGGCTGGGATATATATTAGATAGATGAGATTCACAATATTTTCAACATTATTTGTTGCTTATTTATTGATTCTATAAATCTGCATTGTTCTAGTTCTGTAGAAATCTGTTAAGCTTTCTTCCAGGTTCTACAAACACAGATTTCTTTCTCATTTTCTAGTTTACTTTGGTAGCCCTGATGTTATTAATACATTTTATTACCATGCATTAATGAATTCTCACTATCTTTTTTTCTTGTTCTTCTATTCCTTCAAACCCCATCACTCTTCTTTTTCTGCTCCTGCTTGTTCTTTCTCTCTTCTCCTCTGCAGGACATGGTTCCCGTCACGGTGGATTATTGTCTCCTTCTGCAGAGAACGTGAGTTTATACACACTCCTTTTCCTGCACACATACAGTACACACACTATTTAGAATGCTGTTGTATGTGTGTACTCTGAGCCTGTTGTTTTTCTGGGAATCATCCCAGAGTTTGCAAAACAAGCCTGAAGCATTAATTAAATGTTCTGGTTTCAATATAATTTAAGCATTACATCATTTACCACTGAAAATAATTTCAGACCCTCGGTAAAAAATAAATAAAAATAACACTACCATTCAAAAGTTTGGGGTTGGTAGGATTTTTAAAAATGTTTTTTACCATCATCTGTTCACCAAGGCTGCTTTTATTTGGTCAAAAATACAGTAAAAACAGTAGCGTTTTGAAATATTATTAAAGTAATTGTAATTTAAAATAACTCTAATAATTTAAAATAACTTTTATTGTCTGTTGTAATATTGTAAAATGTAATTTATTCCTGTGATGTCAAACTGAATTTTGTAGTGGCCATTACTGCAGTCTTCAGTGTCACATGATGCTTCAGAAATCATTCTAATATGCTGATTTGCTGTTCAAGAATAATTTCTTATTATTATCAGTGTTGAAAACAGCTAAAAAAAAAAAAAGTAATTCTCACTTACCCCAAACTTACTAATTGGTTACTGACCTTAATTTTATAGTTATTGTGTAATATAGTTAAGTAATATGAATGACTGGGTTACTGTTTCCTATGTTGTCCTGACAGGACTGTACTTTTTTTTTTTTGAATGTATTTTTATTTATTGTATTTTTTTTTGCACATAGCACTGGTGCTAGAGTAGGAAAGTTGTGTTACCATCTCTGAAAAAAAGAACGAATATTTAAAAGATCCCAAAAGGTTAAAGCGTCATAATATGAATACATTTGAATCAAGCGGTTTTGTGACAAGATACGTTTGCTTCATATAATAAACAGATTTAATTTAGGATTTTATTTGCAAGTCTGTAATGAATGGAATTAATGATTTTGCAAGTAATTTTATTGTATTTGAATGTCAGTCATTTTAAACGTGCGATGTACAAAACAGCTTATAGACAAAAAGTTTCAAGTTAATTATGCAACTTTCACAGACTTCTTTATGTAACAAAATATTGAGCTTTGATACCATGTATAAATAAGTGATATAAATAAGTGAAAGGAGTGATAGAAATTAGTTATAGAAATTTTTAGGGATGCACGATATTGGATTTTTGCCGATATCCGATATGCCAATAATTTTCAACTCATTTTGGCCGATAGTCGATGCCGATACCGATATATAATTATTTTTAATTTTGGTTAGTTTTAACAATAACTTATTTGTTAGAATTAAATAAACAATAATAAAGTTATTTTATAATGACAGTACATTGAAGATTTGAAAATAACTATAAATAAACTATATATTAATCACTGCATTTTTTTTTCAGAAAGATGCAGTGGTAACCGTAACATTTTATTTTAGGATTTAACATTTGTAAATGGTCTAAAGCAAAAGAGTTGTAAAAATTCTGAAAATATTTTAGAGCTCATAATTTGTTTAAAAAATATAACATATTATACATGAATGAATAAATCAGTATATATAAAATTACTTAATTTAAGTGTCATGTTTGTGATTTTTTTTTTTGTTCATGTAAGCTATAGCTTCTGACCTTTAAATCAAAACATACTCATGATTTTATGGCATCAATTACTGCTTTATTTAATCAGAAACACAGTCTAAATATTATTTGTATATTTTGCTTTCATTTTATTAGAAGTAGGACAACAGCGCCCCCTATGAAATTAAAACTTCTTTCCGAACGGGCATTAGGATCCGAGGGAGGCTGCCACTGCTGCCACTGCACGTGCTATTACTGTTTACTCTATCACACCGAACACATCATTCTGTACGTGCATTCTCAGTTTAAATGCAGCGATCCAAAACCGTGATTCTAATCATCATTCAGGCAAAACTTTGCTTCAAGAATGAGCCACACTGCTCACATGATCTAATTGCTAGCACGCCCTGAGCACATGTGAGTTAATGTATTCCTCTTATCGGCAAGACATATCGGCATAATTTTTCATATCGGGCTGATGCCGATATTTACATTTTAAAGCCATTATCTGCCGATTCCGATATTGGTCCGTGCATAATAATATATATTATTTCGTGCATAATATCGTGCATCCCTAGAAATGTTCATAATTTTCAGGTGTAGTTTTGTTTTTAAGGTTTAGAATATAATTGTTTGGCTAATTCTGTTATGTTTCCAACTTGAACACATGACGTTCATATGTGACATCCATTGAAGTTTCCCAAGTGCACCTGAAGGCAGCATATGCTGCAGGGTAAATGAGAGGAAAAAAATGATCACACCTGCAGGGAGTGAAAGCAGACCAATCTTTTCATAGCACTTGTGACATATATGTCGCAAAGAACAGCTCTGCCTCTTCAGTTCTGCTACTGTCAGATATATTTTGCTTTGTGTGTGTGTGTGTGTGTGTGTGTGTGTGTGTGTGTGTGTGTGTGTGTGTGTGTGTGTGCGCGTGTG